TTTTTTTGAACTTTTGGAGATTATATGTTGTTGGGAATACTTCCACAGGCAATGAATTCCAGAGCCTAACCGTTCTATGGATGAAGGAGTCTTGATAAAGTGCTGTTCGACATCTTTCGAGGTTGACAACGAAAGGATGTGCTGACTGGGCTTGTCTAGTTCGTCTGATTGGTATTGCTAGTGAAGGGATGATAGCAGAGATTTCCGAAGAACATTTCCCATGGAAGTATCGATAGAAAAGTGAAAGGTCGCCGACCTTTCTACGGTGTTCCAATGATGTCAAAGAGTGAGTGAGTGTGGCGTCACCCACCAGGCGAATGGCTCTTCTCTGGATGGAATCTAAGAGCATCAGCGTATGTTTTGGTGCTGAACCCCATATGTGGGAACAGTATTCTAGAACAGGCCGTATCTGCGCTTTGTAGATCATGAGAAGTTGATGTTAAGTTAATGTAGAGTCAATGTTTAGTTGATGTTTTAAAACTGATAATAATATTAGATTTATGTGATCGAATATGATTAGAAACATGATACCTACTCCGGTCTCATAAACACCCATGACATATAATTCAAATATTTGTAGTCGTAGCAAAAATAACTCGTTGGAAAGTGCATTGCCTGCGCTCGTTTCGCGAAATATTTCACTGTCCACACTAGTTATGTCTTGTAATATACTATTTCATAATCAACTCACCTTGATTTTCATCAATCCGTCATTAGGCTGAATCTTAGGCTGTACATTGACTTATACAGTGAGGGGCAAAATTATGGAATGAATTCATTTTTACAAAATACGCGGCTTCAGAGACAAATCCTGAAACACGTCAATTTTAATTTTTAATTTACCACACTTACAAGGAAATTATGACGTTCGCGACAATTTTTCCAAATAGAACACATTTTTATATTATTCAATTTTTAAAATCTCCATGGAAAGCTGAACTCAAGAATATATTTACACATATAGGGTTTGTATACGGTATTTCCGTTGAATTCAATGTTGCCGTAAAGTATAGTGGATACATATTCATACTTCAAGTACAACTATTCATTTTTGAGGAATCTTCTGAAACACGTCGATTTTTGTTTTCAATTTGCCACATTTACAACGGAAAATAGAATATACAGGATGATCCACGTTTGAGTTATGATGTCCGTGACAATTTTTTCAAACGAAACGAGCAATACCGTACTTTCACGTCTAGACTCTAATAAATAGGACAGACGGTAAATTATTCAATTCTTGAAATTTCTATGAGAAGATAGATATAAAATTTTATTCCACACATGGGTTTCCTATATATGTTCTGTTCCAAAAATTTGTCGCGAACGTGATAACTCATCAGTGGATCGCCCTGTATTTTCAATTTTTCGTTATAAATAATGATATGAAAACAAAAATCGATGTGTGTCGAAAGATACTGCAGAAATGGATAATTCGGCTAAAAATTAATTTATCCACTACTTTAGGAGAGCATTAGATTAAGCATATTATTAATATTTTCAGATTCAGCTTTCCAATGAGACTTCAATATATAGAGTGTTCAATTTGAAGAGATTGTCGCGGACTTGAACTTCATAACTCAAACAAGGATCAACCTGTATTTTTATATATTTTTTTAATCTGACAAATTCATAATAAAAATCGACCTGTTTCGGGATTTATCTCCAAAGTAGTCTTTTCTAAAATAAATTAATCAATTCCAAATTTTTTGACTCACTGTATAAATATTTTTGCACTATTAGTGGTGGTTTACTGGAAACTTTCATTGGAGTATTTCAGTATCCCACCTAAAATTTCCATGTAATTCCACCGATGGAATCCTATGAAGCACCATATGTGATCTCACAGAATCCTAGTGGACGGACTGCTACACTAAATGCTCAAGATATTTTGTAAAATAAGTTTAATTAACTTTAAAGATACCTTAAGAGAAGTATAGAGCATCATATTGACAATAAATGAGCAGATATAATATAAAGTATGATTTCCTGATTTCTTACCACCAAGAAGAATGAAGTTAATTTGATAATTAATGTAATTCATATTCTGAATGATAATTATTTCTTCCTTGTATTTTGCAAATCGAATCATAACATAAACTTTTCCAACATGACAATATAAGCAAATCATTAATGAAGATTGGATCTTAGAAGTAGAATTTTCAGGCACAAACATAATACCTGGCATAATACATCATAGACATTGACTACTACAGGAAAATTTGACTAGAAGACTATCATGTCCCCCATTTAAAAAAAAAGTGTTCAGCACTAAATAAGACAAAAAACAAAATTTCTTCTTTCATCAAAAACAAATCATTAAATTTGTGATTTTCTACCTATTCTGATGTTATCAAAATCAATAGGTATTTTGGAAAATGCATTGGAATTTATCATAAAACTACCCATATTCAAATAAAATTTTTTCATCTTTTCAAGACTCTTGATAACAGTTTTATAAAATTCATAGTTTTTTTTCAAGACAAGCAGAAATGCCCTAGAGCTAATGTTCCTCAGCATCTGATATGTTACACTTCCTGTATAATTACAACCAGAGCATGATTGCATCTTGTAATAAACAATATTGCTATAATCATGAATAACACCATATATTATTTCAGATAAGAATGGCAACTCATCTGCTTTTTGGTCATAGTCTCTCACAGACATCACTACTGCATCAAACTTGAAAGCAATGAAAATCATTCCTTTGAAAAAATTCATCAGGAGACACCCTTCTGAATTGAAAAGTGTATTGAGCTCTATTTTTTTAAAACAATGGTTATTATAAGAAAATCTGAGGGTATTCAATATTATCAGCTTTTTTGATTTATATGGAATAGGATGTGCAATATTCCAAAATTTGAACCTGTGTCTAATGGATTTGTCTTTCTTGAAATTGTAAAGTTTTCTGACTTCCCTTGTTTTCAAATTGAAAACTTGACCATAATATGTCAATTCATAGTTACCATTTTCACCAGCAAATTCTGATTTGAACTCATTCAATTCAAAAATCTCCATGATGGTTTTGTGGAACTTTTTAACATCATCAAAATTATTGGAACACAT